AGATACGGGGGAGCCACATGAGGTAACGGCTGTGAGAGGGCTTTGTGCTATGCAGATGGAGAGAGATGTGAGCAGTAAGGACTTCCGAGTTCTCCAGACTCATGATTCATTTTTGCCTTCTAGGGATGTGGTCGAGGTTCTCCTGAGGAATGATGCGCTGACCAACGTGGCTGACTCTAAAGGCTGTTACCCCCTGCACTTGGCAGCCTGGAAGGGAGATGCCCAGATAGTGCGGCTGCTCATCCATCAAGGGCCCTCGCACACCAGAGTCAACGAGCAGGTCGGAAGCAAAGGAGGCTTTCCTCACACCTCCGTTCAGCCGCAGCCAGACCGGGCAGCCGCATCACCATAGCAGTCCATAGCTCAGATGTCAGGGAGCCAGCTCTTCCATACCCTAAACGAGACTCTTCTCCCCACTTTGCTCATCTTCATGTAACAGGGAACTCTTATACTGTGAGGATGCATTTGACTCAAGGAGATCTGGAATACTACTGTAAAAAAGAAAAGAAAAAATTTAAAATATATATTCACACACACACACACACACATCCTTTGTGTGCAAAATCTGAAATAATGCAAATCCTTCAAAATTGCGTAGAACCCATTTCAAACTACTGAGCTTAGTTAAGTATAGATTTATAAATTATGCTTATGTCATCCATGTGGCAGGGCCATTTCCCAGTGTTCGTACCCTGTGAGCCGTGCTGGTGTTTTGCGTCCATTAGAACTGGCAGAAGTAAAGCACTCCTGCTAGGGCTGGAAAATGAACTCGCACATCAGAGGCATGAGCAGAGGTCAGAGGTGATTAAACAGAATTTTTCCATGATGGCCGCTGATGCTAAATGAACACTGTGCGAGCTTAGAGAAGGCCGAGATAATAACGGAGGCAGCATTCGAGCAAAGATACCTCACAGTGGCTGTGGGACTCTGAGAACACACCTCGTCCTCTCCTCATGTATCCCTTTGGAAAATGAGTCTTGAATTATTTAAGTTTTAGATAAGCCGCTCATGGACACAGCTCCCCGTTGTTTAGACAGAGGGGAGTACCAGTTTGAGAGGCGGTGGGTTCTTCCTGTCGGACCGGATGCTTTTCTCTCTGCTCTGAATGGAGCAGGTGTTTTCTCCCGTTACTGGAACACAGGAGGTGCTGCCCCTTGTCCGTAAGCTTGAGACATTTCCCTAATGACTCTGCCGCAAGAGACTGCAGAATTCCCCAAAAAAATTAGATCCAGAATTTTCCTCCAACAGTAGGAGATCATTCTGGAGAGTCCGTCTGTCAGCAGGACCCATACATGTGCTCTGTGAGCCATTAAGAGCATGACTTTGATTCTGAGACGGCAGCTCCACTCTAAGGCCTGAGAACATTAAAGTAGTGTTCTCAAATCTCTGAGTTAGAGATCGTGTGTACATAGCTGTTAATCAGCTTCCCTTTCCCCTTCCAGGCTGTATTTTCTGGGTAGGTGAGCAACAGACTTTAAGATCATCAGTGAGGATGCTTGTTGAGAACATTTGGGAACAAAAACGGTCTCTTTAGAATTGCCTCTTTAAAATCTAAATGCGCTTTCACTCCTCCTAACTAAGAGGTCATTTCTCTTCTCCGGAGGAAATGTGTAAGGAAGTTTGCTTGCCACTAATGTTCTTCAGTGTCGATACAACTGGTCACCTAGTAAAGTCCCTTCTCATATAAGACATCTTCAGCAACCGTTTCCAGCCCTGCCTTTGCTCACGTTTGCCTTGGAACACAGCTGCTTGGGTTGTTGAACCACTTGAGCGTGCCAGCTTGCCCTGCTCACAGCTGCCTTCTGCCTGGGGTAACTGCTAATAGGTGGGGCACCAGCCAGGGCTTTGAGTGTGGGTCAGGCAGGTGGGTGGGGCAGGGCTGGCAGGATATCTACAGTGGCTTGAAGGACCTAGCTGATCTGGCTGGTGGTTACAGGTACTCCATTGATTTATTTAAAAACATAAGTGGTTCCAGCTGGATGCTTAGATAAAAGGGGCTTAATGAGTACAGTGCCCTGGGGGTCGTCTTCCCCATTAACTTCCTTTCGAGGCATCCCGAGGGCAGATCCGAGTTGTTCTGGTCTTGGGCCCCCTTGGGCTGTGGATTGCTTTGATATATTTATTTCATCCATGTTATCATCACATTTTCTTTTCCTCTCCTTTTTGTAGAATGCTCTTGAGATCAAAGAACTCAAAAAGTACGGCCCCTTTGACCCTTATATCAATGCCAAGGTGTGTACGTCGCTGCCAGGATTTCTCTGCATCATTTCTCCGAGCTGCACCTCCTCCTTGGTCCTCTCTGGCTTCCTCTCTCGTCCACTCAGGCTCCTTCTCATCCCTCTGACTGTTGTCTGCTTAAGCCCATCTGCTTTTGGCTTGTCTGGGAATGGGAAAATGCAGCAGCAGTGGGTTAGGGTTTCATTTTTTAAGTCCATACTAATTCAGGAAAGGTTGGGTGCTTTTCCTGGAGCATCTGAAATGACAGGAATGGAGACATATAGGAGGACCACATTATAGGCATAATTTACTATTATTTCTAAAAGCGTGTGTATGTTCAAACAGGAAAAATGGGGTTAAAAATTGTCAAACAAATGAGCTTACTTTTTAATAGGCACAGAAAAAATGGTTAAATTGTACTTCCTCGAATTAAAGAAATTGCTTTTAGTCTGCTTTCTATGATTTTTTGGAGTAGAATCTGTTAAAATTTTCTTTGAGGTTTCAGTAGCTAATGGAGGTGTGGAGGGAAGGACATGGATGACTCCATTTTATTCCTTTAATGGCTGTGGCTTCCCACTCCCACCTCTTTTCCTAGAGTTTGTGCATTCCTGTGTGACGCTCTGCAGCTTCAGTCCAGTCTCTCCAGCCGTCAGCTTCTCTCTCTGCTTGGTCGCAAAGGGCTCTGAAGCAGGAAATGATGTTCAGGGCCACACAGGGCACTGCTCTGAGTCTCCCTCCACATGAAGCTGGGCAAGCAGTGCTCTGGAAGGGCTGGTGATCTAGCTCTGCCCTGCAGGCCTTCACCACCTGGAGCTGCAGAGCTAGTTAGTTGGCCGGAGGTTTGAGCCTTTTCCCTCAGTGCTCTTACCTGTTAATTTTGTTATCGCAAGTGGCGTTCAGATCAAGTGTGTTTTTGCAACAGTTTGGAGTTTGGGAGAAACACCGCGTTACCCGTATCACCTACCTTTTCCTTGCTCTGAGAGTACAGCTGGCCCAGGGAAGAGGAGCCCGTAGGGTACTTCGGAACGTTTCTGGTCACAGGGCAGGTACTTCATGCCGTTCTCCTCGCAGGTCCGTTTTGCCCCGCTGTCTAGATTCTGTTTCTAATCTTTCAAATGGTAGGAAGCTCTATCCTAGTCTCCTTTTTTATGAAGTGGAGTGATAGAGTGAAAAACCCCCATGGCTCGGCTTTCAGGTCCAACCTGAGTCTCAGTTCTGAGCTGCCACTTCACTGGTTTTGTAGACTTGAATAAGTTACTTGATTTCTCTGAGTTTCCGTTTTCTATTCTGTAAAATGGGCTCCTTTAATATTACTAACTTGCTGGATTGTTTTGGAGTTAAAAAAGATAATATACATAAAGTTAAAAAGAAAACCCTGGTAACTGGTAATATTTGAAATCCCAATTTTGAGAGTGTATACAATGTCTTTCTGAGACGGCATTCTGGAGTCTGTTCCGGCTGTTAGCAGGCAGCATCACACAGCATCCCTCCGTCCCTCTCTCGAGGGTTTGTTTTGCAGAGAAGGACATTGAAGTGATTGTTTTCCCACCAAGTGGTTAGTTTAGTTAGCGCATGACACTTTGATTAAAGAGTAAGACTGTGGTTCTTTAAAGTACATTTTTCTGTCCTTTGATTTTTGCACACATAAAAGAAAATTAGTCTAAATGTAATAAGAGCATCCTTCTCTCTTTGGAAATACTGCCTTTTGCCTTTTCTCTTCTACCCTGAAGGCCAAATGATGGAAACTGCATTAAGGGATAAAGTTGTTTTGGTTGTGCTGAGAATGCAAACCCTTTTTGAGCTGATTCTAATCTAACCTCCCTATGTTTTGTCCTGACCCAGTGGTTTTTATTGACCTGTCTCCTGTCTGAGAATTGTTCTGCTAAGTCCCGTCACCTGTAAAAATGAACAAGTCTCAGATGCAGATGCCTTTCCTGGAAGCAGAGGTGGTTTTCTTTAGCTTTGATGTACTTCAGCATTTGGGGCCTTTCCTTTTCAGCAAGTCAGCTTGAACCAGTCCAAATGTCAGTCATCTTTAGGTAAGGTGGGACATGGAAAAGTGTTCATTTCTTTCCTTTAAAGCAAGTTTAACTTAGTCTGAATATCATAAAACATGCAACAGTCAAATTTTTAGGGTAGATTTTTTTTTTTTTATATCTACTTAAAGATAATTTGCAGTCTTTGAGCTGGAAGGGACTTGGAGTTTTATCTAGACCAGGTGTCTCCAAATGCTGATCAGCATGTTTGCATCCAAATCAACTGGCAAACTCTGAAAAAAGCTCTTGTTTCGAAAATTTTGAACTTCAAAAAACGTTATAAGGATAATGCAATCAACTCCAGTATACTCTCTTTCTTTTTAAAGTTTATTTATTTATTTTAGTTTTTGCTGTAAAGTGCATACACTTGCCAGAGAGAAACAGAGAGAGAAAGTGAGAAATCACTCCCCTGGGGGATGACATTGTCACAGTCTCTTCTCCATTCTCCTCTTGGGATTCTGGGCACACACACACACACACACACACACACACACACACACACCCAGCATGTTTTTCAAGCTGCCGAGTCTGGGACCAGAACCCTGGAGTTGGTCATGGTGGGATCCAGTACCTTCACTACCACACCATCTGCTGGCCCAGTATACTCTTCTTGTTACTCCAGTCTTTAACCTTTTTTTTTTTTTTCCAGTTTTGCTATAGGTTGCACATGCTGGTGGGGGAAAGAGAGAGAAAGTAAGAAATCATCTCCCAGAGGGAATGGCTATGTCTCGGTCTCTTCTCCCCCATTCTTCTCTTGCTCTTGGGATTTTGAGCATGTGCTCAGAGATCCGAGATTTGAATGCACAGTCAGCCATATGGGATCCAGTGCCTTAATCTCCACACCACCTGCTGACCCCGCTGGTTGTTAATATTTTGCTATACTTTTTCTCTGTGTGTTTTTTTGAGAGTTGTTTTTTGCTGTTGTTGTTGTTGTTATAGGGCGCATGCGTTCGCCAGACAGACAGAGACAGAGAGATAGAAAGTGAGAAATCACCCCCCAGGGGGGATGGCCACGCCACAATCCCTT